ACTCTGACTGCTATAACTGCAGCGCAGTAAATGTGGTACTATTTATGAGATTCTGACTGTGACAACTGCGACGCAGTTACGCGCAATTGCGACGTAATCCTTAAAAAAGAGGTGACATGGGATATTTGTTTATTGGTATGGTATAAATCGAGATGATGAAATCATTTAGTTTACCTTCGGCAACAAAAATTTGCCGAAAATGAGCTTCACCACATCGATTTTCGTCGAATATATTTATCAAGAAAAGCTGGGTGTGAGTATAGGTGTGGGTGTGGGTGTCTTGAATTCATGAGTCACACCCACACTTAATAAATCTTTTACTTTTGATGAAAAGCAGCTCAGCAAAGTGTAAGTGTAATCAAATTGATAGCAGAATACATCCTTATCACATACTGTTCATATATGATTGCAAGGCATAGATAGCCCTCATAACTATAGTTAGAATGGCATATTTAGTGTTTTTTCTATCTATCCCTCGTTGTCAGCACCTTTACAATATTTGATAAACACCTATTGCAATACTGATATTTTAAACTTAGTAAATAAAAAGCTTAATTATGAAACTTTTATTTGTATATAAATATTTCATCAACTTGATCGTTAATTTATTATTTGGATGGAATAAAAATGAATTACAAGCAAGAATAATTTTGTTGTTTAGAGAGTATAAGAAAGAAGGTGTAAATAAATGCATCAATGATTAGATAGAGTAATAGATTCTTTTTGTGATCGAGACTGTAAAAAGTATTTTTCTTTTGCGTCACGTATTATTTTAGAAACTAATACGAAGAAAGAACGAAAAATGTGCTTTCGAAATTCGTGTGTGCATAATATATTTTCATTTTCAATTTATTTGTGTAACAGTCTGAATTACTTGAAGAAAAAGTTTTAGAAATAGAATGTGATTATTTCCAATAAAAACTGTAATCGACCAGTATAAAAAAATTAACATTCGCAGCTTCAAGTGTATGAGTTTTAGTAATCGTATGAATAATACGTCTATTGAACATCTATTTTGAAAATAACTTTAACAAGTCACACGACTTACGATGGAGAGTTAGAAAGAAAATTGAATGACTGATCTATAACTACTTCAATATTGATCTTATTCAGTACTTAGAAGGTACGCTATGAATACATATTTCCAAATACAGGTACAAAAAAATTTTTACGACTATAGTCAACCGTGATGGTAATGATGTCTAAAATTTTGAAGTTACATAAAAGCCCTATAAATTGCAATGAAAGCGCATCAAGTCATTATAATAAAATGGTTTTTATCGATTGTTCTTATTGTCTAGTTTTACTAATTCAATAAAGAACTAACATCGTTTCTTTTAAAGTATTTGTAAAATAGATAAAGATTCTAAGATATATTTCATATATTCATAGAAACAAACCACGAGTACATTCGTTCTTTCTCTTTGTGTATCGTTTTTTAAATTTTAAGACAAAATTCTGCTTTTCTAATAGATCTCTCTCATTATGATATATTTATCATGCAACAGATTAATCAATCATCTAAAAGAAACTGTCCAAAAAAAGAATTTTTTCTCTTGGGTTATCAGTCAATATTATTATTCCTCTTACTGTTCAATAAACGACATTTAGAAGCAAAAAGAGAATTTTAAATTCATTTAACAATATAACTGATTAATAATCAGTGTAGTATCATCATCAATTGCATGGCAAATCCTATACCCTGAAGTACAATATTTGTCATTAAACGAGTAAATAATAATAAAAGTGGTGAATCATTTATCTCACATCGTTGAATTTTGATATCGATTTCAAATCTAGATATTGTTGAATATACATTAATACCAATAATTGTTTCTTTTCTTGGAATATCGAATTGATTTTGAACAGTTAAGTCAATATTCGACAATGATAAAATTCGAATATCAGAAGATAATATATGTAGAATCAGAATTCTGTAATTTAAACAATTCTTTTCTTTTGATTCGATTTGAATATGTTTCACAGTTAATGGACGATTAAATTGAGCATCAAATGTACAATCTGTTGAGCTAGAACATGTTTTATTATATAATTTATAACTATTTTTAATTGACAACTGATCAAGTATAGGTGAAAGAACAAGACCGTCATATGTATCAACTGTAATTGATGATTGTTGTGACGTAAGTAAATCATTAAATGAATTATTTATTGAAGTTTCTGCATTGTAAATCTTGAGGGTGGGTGAGGGTGGGTGTGGGTGTGGGTGTAGGGTCCGCAAAATAGAATCGAATTGTGACGATAAAAATGTCCACATTATAGAATTACCGAAAAGAGAGAAATCAACAGATAAGTGTAGTACATTTTACTAAATTATATAGACGAAATTATCGCTAGTGAAATGATGTGGTCCTGGATACATGTGCTGTCCAGGTTATTTTTTTCGAAAGTGTATGCTAGACATAGACTTATTTAAAGCAAACGAAATAGAATAAACAGTTCATAAAATGTCTATCGTAAACCAAGAAAATATTTCCTTTATTGCCACACAATCTGGTAATAGAGGAATTATGTACAAAAATTATCTTTTCGGATAAAAACGTACAAATAAAATGCTGATTATGAACATAAACTACAACTGACTTCAATCTGCTTGTATTTCTTGTATTTTCTTCTTTCTTTATATAGTAAAATTTGATTTCTATAATGCGGCTATTTTTATTGCCATACTTCGATTCTATTTTGCGGACAGTTAAAAATATGCCGTCATTTTTGTCTCTCTCCCCCCGTTTCTTGATTGCGGTCATTTTTCCTTAATTGACGAAAATTTTTGACCGCAATTAAGCTGTAGCCTTTGAAATTTATTGATTCAAGCCACTCAAAAAAAATGAAAATTGATTAGTGCAGAATATATATAGATAAATATCCTTGAAATATGAAGACAAAACTGCACACAGATCTACTTTTTCTTCGTCATTTTAATTTATTTTATAGAGTATTCAACTTCGTCTTTAACTCTTTAGTTATGGGTTTTTTTTATTAAGATGGATTTTTTGTTTTCCGTTGCAAAACAGTCTTGAATAAATTTTATAAGCATATAAAAGTATTCAGAAATGTTTCAGCGTATGATAGTCTTCAAAACAACCTATCACACTGATCTTGAGGGTGTGGGTGTGATGTAAGTTGGGTGTGAATGTCGGTATGAGCACATATCAGTCACTCAGCTACACTCACACCCACACCCTCATACAATTCCATTTGTTAATAGAGTTGATGTATGTATGAGATACACGATCGTTATGAAAATTTCCTGCATTCGTTCATTCTGACAAAGAAGTATATGAAGGTGTACTGAAAATCAACATTATATAAAATTGTTTAAAATATATTCTAAGTAAACATTAGTTTATAGGAAGTATCTAATTGATTATATGTCTATGCGAAAAGTTGTTGATTTATATTTAACAAAACACTATGTTAATTTATTTACCAGGAATAATGAAAGTTAAAGTAGCCAACATTTTTGTTCAATTCTTTATTCCATCGAATATTACCTTTGACTACTAAACTCATATTTTATGTGTTGATATTAACTATCTGGCATTGTGTATGTTGCACATCTAAGTATCACAAGAGGGCCTTACATCCATGTTTCACCCACACCCTTGAAGAGGAATAATAAAGTTTTAAAATTAGAAATCAATAGTCTCCGTTGTTTTTATTAATTTCGGTAATAATAATAAACTTAATATATAAAGAATTGCACAATACACACAAATCATGATTAAAATATAGATAATATAAATAAGAACATGTACTTGATAAACAGGTAATTCTATCTGAAAAGAACGAATCTTAATAATTGTCAATGTTCCACATGAATATACAGTTTTATGTTCATGAATCATTTTAATATGACGTTGTGAATGCAATATTGATGGATAATTACATTTCGATCGAAATACCACTGCTGTTGCATAAACTTTAGGACAATGCCAGCGACGAGAAAATATCACCATACTTCCATCGAGTTCAGTTGGAGATCCAAAATCACCATAGAATTTCTCATCATTTTCGACTTTATAATTAGCTTTATAGACAAGAATTGATAAAACAGATTGATCAAAACGATGTGTAGTCGATAAATATGAATTCATTGGAGCAATGCAATTAATATTCAAAGAACAATTAACAAATGGTATTAGAATATCATTGTAAAAACTAGAGAAATTTGTATTAAAACCGACTATACCTCCAGCTGTTTGATAATGACCACCAGTATTGAATTGATTTCTGGTCATATTTAATGCTATAAATGTTTGTTCATCTGTATGATTGAAAATCAATGTTTTTTGTCGAGTAAGAAAATAACCTTGTGTTTCAATCGTTTTAATAATTGATTCGACTGATGAACGTAATTCTGCGCCAGCATCAAGATAGAAAATAGTTCTGGATTTGTATTTATATTTCTCAAATATTTCTTTCCATAGGAGTGCTTTGTAGGCAAATGTATTCAGATCGGATACATGAGTTGGATAGATTTCGAATGGAAATTGCTCTATTTCAATATTTACTATGCACGATAGTCGAAAGCGTTGAGCATCAGTCATACCAAGATCAAAGACAAGAATTGGTATATGAGGTTCATGAAAATGAATCGAACCAATCAGATTTTCTAATCGATCGATAAATTGAGCAGAAGCTGCTGTTACTAATAAGACGTTATGAGGATTCGTTGATGTAGGAAATACAGTTGTACGAGTATGCAATGTAGAAATCATATTTCGATCATGTGGTCGTTTCAATGGTATCAGGAATGTATTGAAATATTGCTTGAAAAGAACATAATAAACTACAGTTATGAATATCAGATAAATACCAAAAGAAATCGATACGGTAGGTGTATAACGAGTATAAATGAAACGACTTTTACATGAATGAGAAATTAATAGACGATAACAATATTGTTTTTGATTTCGAATGAATAAATTCATTAACATCATAGAATATTTCAACTCGTAGCTTCTGAAAAGAGATACTTTTTAATTAAAAAACAGCATAGCTATTTAAGATGTGGCCCCTTTACGACAATGTTGTAGCTAATTGATTTAAATAGCTATATAAAAACTGTACTATTTAAGCATTAACGTAGCTATTTAAAAAAATGTGCATAACTATTCTATTATTTAAGAAGCTGACTATTTTTTTATAAAATTTTTGATCTGTTTATGTTATGGGGTAGCTGGTAGGGATGTCCATCGCGGTTGAGAATCTGCCGCTGCCACGCCGCGCCGATATTGTAAAAAAGCTAACGCGCCGCTGCCGCGCTACGACTATAATAAAAAGAAGTCTGCCGCACCGCCGCAGTTTTGGAAAAGAATCTAACGCTGCCGCGTCGCGAACGCCACGGCGGCAGTGGCAGCGCCGCCATGGACATCTCTGGTGGCTGACTCACAAAAAACTGTAAATTCATTTTTTCCCCATTATTTATCAAACACTTTGAATTGTTATGATATTTTTTTAAATAATCCTAGTTCTGAATAGTACATAGAATGAATACATTAAAAATCAAGTTTTGTTACGAATGAAGGAAATATTTAACTAGCTTGAGATATTTATAAAAGAATGATCTATTAAAAAGTATCCGTTTCGAGAATGACCCATTTAGGTTAAGTACATGTATGCATTTTGCATTTTCGTTGACAATCAGCAACAATTCAAATAACTATAAACATTTTTTAAATAGCGCTAGACAAGTTTAACTAATGCTGGCGATTTCATTAGCTATGCATTAGAAGATAATGAGAACATCAAATATCTAGCAAATATTTCAATAGCTATGCAAGTATTTTAAATAGTGTTGGTCATTGAATAGCTAATAAGCAGAAGTCTAAATACATAGTTTTCTTTGGTATTTTTTAGAGATTGTCTATATAACAAAAATTGTATCTCTTCTGAGAATGAACCATTTCAACTACTAATGACTATATATAAAAAATAAACAAAATATATTGTACCTCTAAAGGCATATTTATGCATGCATTATACTACTCAAAATCTACTTTGAAAATTAAGTTCAGACATGCACTTACCTGTACGCTGTGAATTTCATACTATTACAATATATATTTTTTGCCTTCCATCGTTTTTCTGTTTGCGCAAATGTCAGAATGAAGAATAAATATTGATATACACAACGTGATTTTACTCATAGTTACGCGTTAGATGTAGATTTTAACAGGAAAGAATGAGAGTGAATACGTTGTGTTTTATAGTTTTTTTTTCTTTACATTATGACGTATGTCGATATCTTTAACATCATTTTATTATAATCAAATTTTATTACTTATCAAGAATCGAAATGGAGTGCCCACACAAATCCGCCCCGGACTGTTTTATTACTTTTTCCTGTAGATTCTACTAGATTTAGAAATCATAAAAAAATAATATTTATATGAAGATATTTATCAAAATAAAATTGGGCAATATAGTATATCAAGCGTCTCTTGATAGACAAAATCTATTTTTTTCTCTATTTGAAGTTGTTGATAATATTTTTGTATAGCTATGAAATATGTTTGAAATTGAATTTAATGATGAAAATGATAGATAAAAAACGCTCACACCCTCAAAAAAAAAAGCAATAGAAGCAAGAATATAGAGAAAATAGAATATAGGCACTACGAAAGAATTTGTTAATCAAGGTGTTGATCTCTGCGTTGGAGTTCAACAATCGCTTCTTTAGGTGCAATGACAGCCATTTCTGTGAGTTCTTGGAATGGTTTCCGTGTTTTCTCACCACAATCAATTAGTGTGTATGTTTTCAAGAGTCGAACAAGTAACATTTTCATTTCAAGCAAAGCAAAACGCATGCCAACACAATTGCGCGGACCAACTCCGAATGAGAACCATGCCATTGGATGTCGTTTAGTGGCGAATCTTTCAGGATGAAATTCATGCGTATTCAAAGGACCCCATAAATCTGGATTATAATGCAAATTGTAAATATCGACGACAATCAGTGTACCTGCCGGCACGGCACCGAAATCTTTGATGCGAAAATCATCAGTATTTTGACGAGATATTGCCGATGGTGCAATAGGATACATGCGAAGAGTCTCTCGAATGAACATATCCAAATAGTCCATTTCAGAGACAGTTTCATATGTTGGCATAGTGTGTTCTGTTTCTGGATTAAAATGAGCATCGATATGCTCTTGCAACTTTCGCTGTTCCTCTGGATGAGTAGCAAGAACATACGTTACATAACTAAGAGCTGTACTTGTAGTCTCATAACCAGCTAGCACTAAAATATAAAGAGAAAAATTTAACAACAATAAATATATGATCGATTGGTTTACTCACTGAAAAGAAGAATGTTCGCTGAAGTCTCATGTTTGGTAATTTTTCGAACCAGTGGTGCTTCGACTCCAGTATCATCACTTTTCTCGGACGATGCTAGTCCATCCTGTCAGAATAGAAATACGAGTTTCACAAAAACTTTACTCATGTTGAAGAAGATGATTTTATTGTTTTTGTCAATTACTGAGAGAATCTTACTTTAATAAAATCTTGTTCAGACATGGACTCAAGCATCAGCTGTAATAAATCTGTTCGACGAGTATGACCAATATCTTTACGTTTTTCAATCATTTCATTGGCTTGTTTCTTAATCCATGTGCTAGGACTTTCGTCAATGAATCGCTTTGTCACGGGAATATAGTGCCGAAGCCAATAGCGAATAATACCGAATGCCTGAAATATACTTCTCCATACTTTTGTGAATTCTTTTATTAAAATAGTTAAAACGAATATGATTCCAACCATTTTATTCGGTGAAAACATCTTTTCTGAATTGGCGAGATATGGATCATTGACATTATTTTGCATGTCAGTATCGAGACCGAAACCACAAGACCAAATAGTGTCCATTGTAAATCGTTTGAAATATGCGTAGATATCAAATGATTCACCTCTGGCACATTGATCCGCCATTTTTTCCATTAGCGTTTCGATACTTCGGTGAATCAATGGTGACATTTGTTTGAGTTTTAGCGAGGAAAATGTTGGATTGAGAACAAACCGTTGTCGTTTCCAACGAAGACCGACGGCGTTGAATAGATTAGTATCCTTTGCTTGGTGACTCGCAAAAGGAGATTCACGACGAGAATGAAACTTTGAAAATGATTTAATAAATACTTCTTGAAGAATGTCTGGATCCGATACGACAAGAACAGGTGTATGTCCTTCGAAATAACCAAAGACATTGCCATATTTGTTAGTCCATTGCTGGATCGCAACCGTTAGTCTTCTAAAAGGGTGA